AAAAATACTTAGAGATCACAAAACTTTTTTTAAAATTTTTTTTATAAAAAATCGCAGCTTTTTATTAAAATTCGCTAAAAAAAAAATATAAAATCAATTTTTTTTTTAATAAAAAAAAAGTTTTTTTTTTCAAATTTTTTTCATCGAATTTCTTTAAAAACCAGCGATTTTTTTATAAAAAATGTCAAAAAAAAGTTTTGTGATCTCTAGGTATTTTTTTTATCTATTTTATTATACTAGGTCAAAGATAATGGTTGCTTTTTTGTAATTATATATTTTTTATTAAATCATCTTATTATTATATTAACTTCTTATTTTATAATTAAATTTATATATTAATATTAGTTAATATATTTTAAAATTATAAGTTAGTAAATATATTTTTATACTTTTTAACTAATTAAAAAATATTTATATTAAAGACTATACTTTATAAAATTATAACTATATATATCTTTACGATAAAATTATAACTATAGAAAGGACTGGATGGTTTTAAGGTCTTTGCCTCTTTGGTATGAAATGAGTAACTTTTATTTGGCATATGAAAATCAGTAAATAATTTGTTTACAAACTTTTATTGTACTGCAATTTATGTATAGCGGTAGTTTTAAATGATTCTTACATAAGATGATAACACATTAAAATATACAATGAAAATATAGTTTGTACTTTGTAAGATACAATAAAAAAAATAGCTACATTGTTTTGTGCCTGACAGCTGTGTATGTGATAAGGACAAAATATTTAATAAATAAAAGTTATAATATTTAAAAAAAAAATATATATATATATTTTTAAAAAGGTTATGATTATGTTAGTTGGTGTATGCTGTTAAGATTTCACTTTATTACGTATATACTTTTTATTTATATTGTCTTATTTTCTCAATCATTGATCTAGTTATTGTTATATTTGTTTTCTTTAGTAGTATTATTGCAATTTTTATTATATTTTTTGAAGTTATCATTTATCTTTTTGCAGGGACGATTTGTGACAAAGCCAGGTTCTCTTACTTGCGACGAGGAAACATAAGAATCATTGAACCCCTTCATCTTATGTTATTGTTTCATTTAGTCAATTTCTTTTTCTTCTCTACCTTTCAATCTCTTTATTTTTATTTTTTCTTTTGCAAAAGAAAAATGTAACCACAAGATGTACATACATAAGAAAAGGGAATTAAAATATTCCAAATAGTTCTTGCATAGTTCTTCAAAACTGTTTTGTCATAAATCTATCATTTATTATATTATATATAACATAATGAAAATCGTTTATTAATAAATAAATATTTAAGATGTAAGGTAAAATTTGGTGGAGTAAATCAATAAATATATATAAATGAGTTAAACCGAATTGTATTCAACTGAAGTGAAATTCATATGAAATGCATTCAAATGTTTCCTAGTTGTAACTATTTTCTAAGGTTGTTTGATAGAAACTAAAGATAAGATTTTTGAACAAGTTTATTGAATTAGAATAAATATTATTCTATAAATATCATTTTAAACTTCTGACAAAAACAACTTAAAAACTTCTGATAACATAGAAAAACATATTAACCAAAATTAGAATTAATTATTATCATAAAAAGGTAACCAACTTTCAAAAATGTTTAAAAATATCATCCAACTAAAAAATGTTATTATCCTCCCTAATAAATGAAAATAATTTTGCCACATGTCACTCTCTCATTAACTTGGACACATGTCATTTTTTGGTATTTTTGATTAAATGTATTTCCATTTGTTATTTTCTCATTTTTTTTTAATCTTTTCTTAATTAACACATCATATTTACACCTCAATTAATAATTACCTTAATTAAAAATAACCAATAAATTACAATATTAGTACTCATATAATATTTAATATGTTTTATAACATCCTGTTCTGGATCGTCCGTGATTTAAGGATTCGTTGGCTGCAAACCGGACAAGAGGAAGTCTCGGGGCTGCGACGAGTTGAAGCGTAGGACTTCTTGTCACCTTTCCGTGGATATGAGGATCATGGGAAACAGACTTATAATAAGGGAGCTATGACAGTTTGAAGATTGGGCAAGATAAGTCCTTTAATTGAAAAATGTGGTAGCGGAGTACGCTGGGCGTATGTGTATGTACGCTTAGCGTACTCATGTGCTTGACTTTTAAGCGGAGCCACCTAGTACGTTGGGCATACCAGAGGGTACATTGGGCGTACTAGGCACAGAAGGAAACCCTAAATAAGGGGAGGTGCCCCTATATAAAGAATGAGATGACCTCATTCCTGGCCACCATTCTCAGTCAACAAACCCTCAAAAACCCTAAACCTTCGTTCATAGAGCTTGTGAGTGCATTTGAGAGCCTTTGGGTGACTTTGTGTGTTCTTGGAGTGAAGAAGAAGCTTTGGAGAAGAAGGAGTGAGAGTCCAGGGCCTTGGATCCGAGCATATCTGTGTTGGGAGCTTCATATAGAGGTATAAAGCTTCAAGTTTTCTCACTCTTTTGATTTGTGCATCATAGTGGAGTATTTTAGGGTTTTGTCCCAAAAGTTGGAGACTT